CCTCCAGGCAAACCTGGTATCTCCAAGGTCTATCATCAATTCTGTACAGTGTTCTTTCCTTTGCCCCCAGCCTGCTGCTTACTGTCTCTTAAAAAAAATACAACCCCCTACTGATGCTGTAGACTTTCCATTTGTTTTAGTATTCTTTACACAGTGGATGCACAAGCAGCCCTTAAGCCACAGATACCAAACAGACCATCCATAGATAGGATACAGTACTATTCGCTCCCTTGGCTTTTTATTGATTTAACATTCCATCCTGCAATTAAATCTGTTTGTTTTTTTTTTTTATCAAAGTTTATGTGATGGATCTGTACAAAATATTCTTAATACGGTGTAGTGGGAAAAAAGTATTCAGCTATTCACCCCAGTTAAATAAAAGGAGATCGATGGGTTTCACTCAGTCGACACTTTTTCTATATCTTTGCAAAGAGAGAAAAGTTCATCATACAGCGCTTTTTGCTTGGTAATCAGCCCTGTTCTGTTTGGGCAGCATTTGTTCCCCTTTACTTACAGTAATGGAAAGTAGTCAGGGTCAAAACAAATTACAGACACTTTGGTTATCATTAAAATATTATGAATGAACCTTGAGAGAGAATCTGGCTTGTTATGGGAAGAAGGCATGTCTTGTCTAAAAACACCCTGACGCAGAGGAATTGTGTGGCCTTGCAGGTGAAACTATGGAGCCCCTAAAGGGACATGGAGGGAAAAAAGAAACTTTTGCGAGATCCCACAATACTTTTGCGAGATCCCGTAATAGTATTGCAAGATTTCTCAAAGCAAAAAAAAATTGCATACTGACATTTTCTCTCTTCATTCGTGTAATGTCGTCTTTTGTGACTTCTCTAGAAATTAAGAACCTCTCCAAATCATCCTCCATGGTTGTAGCTGACACATGGGCGTATTATCTTTCCATAGCAGTACACTTTGCGCCTCCACTGTTGTGTGTCTGTTTTACTTCCGGTTTGCTGAAATGGGAAAACCTTTTGCGACATTTTGCAAAAAGTGTTGCGGGATCTGGCAAAAGTTTATTTTTTCCTCCATGTCCCTTTAGGGGCTCCATATGAAACAGACGGAGTGAAAACTTTTATAGTGAGTCAAATAAGATAAATTAATATATGAAATAAGAGAAACAAAATTTTCCAAACACAGATGGATAGTCATATCAGTGACTGTAGGCTTAAGTTTTACATGAACACCTGAAATGTCAGATAGGGAGCAGCACCACAAGTCATAAGGACCAAGGAGCTCTACTATCAAGTCAAGGACTTAGTAGTTAATAAGTCAGGGCTGGGTTATGAAAATATTTAAATCTGTGATGTTCACTCAGAGAGCCATCCCATCCATCAGCTTCAAATGTAATGCAAATGGTACTAAAACAGACCTGCTTAGAGAAGGCCACTCACCAAAACTCATGGACCACGCAAGGAGGGAATTCCTAATAAAGGCTGCACAGAGAACAGAGACAGCCCTGAAGGCGTGGTGCAGATTTCCACCACGACAACTGGAATGTTTGCCCATTGGACCACATTAAGCCAAACAATCCTTAGAGCTGGATCTATTGAGAATTGGTCAGGAAACTTGGTGTAAACAGTAAGAAGTAATATCCTCAGTTTACCAAAAAAAAAACATGTGGAAAAATCTCTAATTTTATGCAGAAAAGTTCAATGATCAAATAAGACTTAGATTAGATTTTCGGGAGAACACTATGTCTGACACAAACCAAACACTTTCTATCATACCAGGGACAACATCCCCACAAGAAAACATGGTAGTGGCAGGATCATGCTGTTTCATCAGTATGGACCGAATAGCTGGCCCAAATTGAGAGAAATATTAGTTTACAAACAATTTTATTTTTTAACAAACCTGTGTCAGTCTGTCTGGGATATAGATTGACCTTTTAGCAGCGATATGACTCAAATCATATTACTAAAGCAGCATTGAAGTTGTTTAAGGGGAAACATTTAAGTGTGTTGGGAAGGGTAGTTAAAGTACCTCAATCGAATTGCGAGTTTATGGTCAGAACTGAAAATCTGTTGATGGCAAGATATGGCAAGCTTATTAAAACTTTTTCAACCCGCTTCACCTCTAATTGCAAAATCTCTTTCTACAAAGTACTGGTTTTAGAAGGTGGGGTGTCATTTTTTTGCATGTAAGGTTTTAATGTGTATTAATGTACTGTGCGACAAAACAAAACTTTTTTCACTGGTTGTTGTGGGACTGTGTTGAAATAAGCCTTGATAAGATTTATTTTTTTATGTTGTTTTTTAATACCATAACATTTTTATAGTATAATATCAGCTATCTATATGTACATGTATGGGTAAAGCATAATTCAATCCAGAACTGACTCTTTTTTCTACACCATCTCTCGCTCTGTCATCCTCCATGAACTCTTCTATTCTTGTTACAGATTTTACCTTTTCTGCCTGACTGCACTCTGTTTAATCGCCTATAAACCTTTCATCCCAACCCTTCTCCTGTCACCTTTGGCATCTCTCAGGCTTCATCCCTGGATCTGCCCTATTTCCTCCACGATTCTATTCTTCATCTTTTCAATATCTCGTTCCACTGCTTGTTGGATGAAACCCACCTCTGCCTCTCCTGCAAATCATTCCCCTGTCATCTCTCTTCATTGCTCTCTGCTATCAACTCCTGAATCACAACAACCATTCTTAAGCTTAATTCAGATAAAACACACATCTATCTAATCGGCAACAATTCAACCCTCTCTAAAATGAAAAACCTTTCATTGAACATTGATGACTCCTTAATCTCCCATACCTTCAGACAAAGAATCTTAGATTCATCCTTGATAGCATTCCTCTTTTTTCACCTCCGCATTGATAACAAAATTAGATATTTTTATTTCCATTTACGCTCCAAAAACCGTCTCAATATTTCCCTCAGTCTCCTCTCAACTCCTGTCATAACTCATTGATTGGTCACCTCCTGCTTTGAATACAGTGATTATCTTCTCTATGATCTCCTTCAAAAGTGCCCACATCACCACACAGCCTCTCCCTACTTTTGGCCATCCACAACCTTTCCCCTCTTTATTAGTTTAAACCCTCTTGGTCCCTCAGCTCTTTCTGTTCCAGTTGCCTCTCTGTCCTTTCTGTCCACCTCAGCTCTGTGGTGACCAGAACTTTCTCTTCTTCTGCTCCCAGTTCGGGAATTAGCAACTGAAATACTGACTCAATCCTCTATTTAAAATCCAACCTAAAAAAAGACCCTTAAAAAACGGAAAAGCCCCAGAAAAATAAAATTTTTCCGGGGAAAAGCCTGCCCCTTGAGAAGCATGAATGATTGTCTTATAAATAAAAAATCTATTATTTAATACTTTGTTGTTTTGAGTTAAACATTATATGTTGATTAAGCAAAAATATAAAGAATGTGCTGCTAGATAATTTATGTGATGTCAAGCAACATTTCAAAAGTCTGTCCTGGAATTTAATTGAATTTCTCATGATTTAAAACAAAGGCAATATTTTCCGTATCGAGTAAAAAACAACTGTTTCTATGTCTATAGTCACTGAGGTTTTCAATTCACTTCATATTTATACAGTAGTTTGTCCCTTAATTTTAGTATTATTTGTAGCGCTGAAACAATTAATCGGATTAATCATGATTAATCGATTTTTAAAATTACTGTCAACTTGTTTAGTAATAGATTAATCATTAACTGGAGTATAGAGAATCAAACATGCCATTACATGACAGAGCAACCCACTTGGAGCAGTACTTATACCAAAATTGTCAAAAAAATATTAGTGTTGCGTCAATGCCATTTGTTTGGCCCCCATACGATAGCTGATACCCGGCTGTGAAATATTGGCCCATACCGATACAATCTGTTTGAAATTGATGTGTGTTCATATATATATAGAACTGCATACTACTTGGATGTAAAATAATTACCATCATGGCTTTATCAAGCTGCTGCCTACCTTTGTGAAGCAGGAAAAAGACTAATACAAAGTGAATCCAGTAGAACTTGTTATTGCCTACCTGGAATGGGTGACAATAGTTTAATAAACTTTTGGCTCTCAAAATGGTATCAATGCCATATTTGTTGGTACTTGCCGATACCGATACCACCAGTTTAGTGCTGGATTTGGGCCCCGACCGATATTGGTATTAGTGCCACACTAAAAAAATATAGAAACATTTTGCATTATAAGATGAAAGAAAATGCTTTCCTCTGACTATATGCTCTCTCCAGAACTCCTCAAGTGGAAAAGTTTTAGTTTCACTTGGTTTAATTTCGTTAAAAATAAAAAATCTTCTTTAAGGAACCTTTGGCTATCAATTTCTAATCGAACAAATAATCAACAGATTTATCAATTTGCAACATAATCACTATTTAATGGCCTAATTATTTGCTTTTGCTCTAATCTAAAGATTTCAAGTTTACAACACATTGTATTGTGAACTTGAAATGTGCTGTTATCGTTTCCAATGTGTCAAGACCAATGATAACAAAGAAAAAATTATTTCCATATATATTATTTTTCTGTTCAATTTCGTGAAATGTTTAACTTCTTTAAATGTGATCTAACTTTAAATTATGTTGTATCTGCTTGTTTAACACATTTCAAATTTAGCTTAAAACTTTAGCTGCCATTACTTTGTTTTAAGGAAACAGGGGCTGCTTTAACATTAAAGCAGAGCTGTTTTCCTAAACTCAGTTTACTCTGAGGTGCTTTTTATGGTAAACGAAGCTAAACAGAAGCCATGTTTAATACCTTAGCTAACTAAGCAGAAGTATATGCTTTGAGAAACTGTATTTCTACAGATTCTCTGTTTTGAAACCTGATTAAATGAGTTTGATGGAACTATTCTAACTTTAGATTGATTCATTCTAATTTGTATGTTAATTAATTCCTTTTATCGTTCTAAATTTATATTCTGTTCCCACTTGCATTATCGGAATACCGTTGATTAGAAGTCTTTCTCTGTTCTTTATTTATGACCACGTCCTTGTCCTTTTGCAGGGTGTGACGTACTGCGGGGAGAGCTCTGCCAGCAGTCTGACCATGGCCAACGTTCCCTGGCATCAGGAAGTGGTCGCCTTCGTCCAACAGCTGGCTGACATGCTACCTCAGTATGAGATTGCCTGTGAGCATGAGCACTCCAACTGTTTGCTCATTGCACATACTAAGGTAAGAGCTCAGCAGCTGAACCCAATGAAAAAAGCTAACACACAACCTTCAGCAGTAACATACGGCCAGAATGAGTGATGGATTCCACGCTGTGTTCAACAAAGCAGTTTAGAAAACACATTTTTAGGTTTAATTTCTACTTTTTACAAGTTAACATAAAATGTTTTTTTTTTTTATTAGTTTCATTTTCTGAGATGTATTACCTCCACACTCTCCAGAAATGTTCTAATTTCCTCTTTATCCTGGTCTGCTGCAAGAACTAATATTTGTTCAAATCTGTTTGTTCTGCAGAGATACAATAACACCATTTAAAGTCCCTTTTTCAATGCATTTGTTAATAGATTTATAGCACAACTTTTTCTTTGACCTCTCAGAGTTGGTTGGTGCTCAGTTGTATCAAAGGATGATGAACATCATTTTTAAGAGATCTTTCTATAAGGATATAGATTCAGCAGCCTCTGATTTTACTTCTCTGTTGCCTGAATTTCATTTTTATCAACAAATTAATGGAATCTGTATGTAGCCCCTCAAACCTTTTAAATGCCAAAGCACTTTGCTTTTAAAGCATGCTTATTCAACAGTTTCATTAAAATAAATAAATAAATAAATTCGGATTGGACACAAAATGAATAAATTCCCCAGCTTTCCTCTTACTGTTTGCCATACTTTGTATCTCTTAAGCAGAATCTTTTACAAATTTAGAGGTAAAATATCATTTAAAGACAATTAAGTAGTTAAAAAATGCAGCAAAAGTTTGGCAAAGGGTGAGAATGCCAAGATGGTGAGTCCAAACTTTGTCGGGTTATAAAACACTGGCCACCCAAGTAGAAGCTATGAGAGTAACATTTCCATCTCAGATATAAGCTTATAAAATTAACATTTATCTAACATTTGTGTCCAAAAGAATGAAAGAGATCAATCTTTGTTCGTACCAGTTTGGAGATGGAACAGGATCCTATGCAGGGACCTAAAGGTGTTCTGCAAAGGGTTTAGTCGTTCTTTGATTTACCACAGCGGGGAATGATAACCTGTGACAAATATTGCAAACAGTTAAAGTTATATTTAAATATTCCAGGACTCTTCTACTGCAGCATTTATATTATCTATAGATTTGACAGTATTAAAGTTAAGGAAGATTATTGCACATTTTAATCCCAAAACTATTGAAGCAATAAGTTCTGGTTTGAGCTGTCCAGATCTAAGCCCTGTTTTGCATACAGAGGAGGAGAATGGTGGTAGAGATTCACCACAGCTGTGCTAATTGGTCCCTAATGGTCTAAAACAGGATGTGAGGAAGCTGGAAAAATCTTAAATTATCCTGACAGGTAAACAAAAGTCGATAAAACATGAAGAAGAGTAAAATAGAGATTTTTGGAACAAAAAGTATGATATTCATTTACAAATCACTGGGCAGAGATATGGATGAACTTGGGTCTGCAGGTTGCTCACATTTATTGCATTTATTCACTAATTGAGGTTCCATGCAGGAGTGAAAAGGACATATGATTTTTATTTATTTTCAGTCTGCCCTGCACATCAAGGTCATAGTTCAGTGACTGCAGTTACTAATATGAAGCATGAAATTTGGCAGATGGAACGGCAAACTACTCAAAACATTCTGGCTTTGCTTTTAGGCATAATGAGCTGAGCTGAGTTCAAGTTGCAGTGAGGAGGGAAAATTCCTCCTCAATTATTCAGGCGAAGTGGAGTGCACACGTGTTCAAGCGTTTGTAGTGAAATCATTAAAATGTGTCAATGAAACTTCTGCTCCCTTTAGGTTCAGGCTACTCTAAAGTAATAACCGATGCTGCTGGTTCACATTATAATGCGCAAATAAGAAAAAAAGTATAAAAAAAAACATTGAGGTACAAAGTTTGTGCTTATTTATTCAGAAGCATACATTTATTTAGGATTTATTTTATTCACAAGGCGATCCAAAGTGATATATATATATATACATACATACATACATACATACATACATACATACATACATACATACATACATACATACATACATACATACATACATGTGTGTAATATAATGAGGAATGCTATTTTTCAAGTTCTCCCACTTAGAAATCATGGACGGGCCTGAAATTGTCATCATAGGTGAATGTTCACTGTGAGAGACATTATCTAAAAAAAATTCCAGAAATCACAATATATGATTTTCTAACTATATATTTGTATGACACAGCTGCAAATAAGTATTTGAACACCTATCAGCTAGAATTCCGACCCTAAAGACTTAGTCTGCCTTCAAAATGTCCACCTCTGCTCCATTTATTATCCTAAATCAGATGGACTTGTTTGTGGTCATTAGCTGCATAAAGACACCTGTCTACCCCATACAATTAGTAAGAATCCAACTGCTAACATGGCAAAGACCAAAGAGCTTTCTAAAGACACTAAAGACAAAATTGTATACTTGCACAAGGCTGGAAAAGGCTATGGGGAAATTGCTAAGCAGCTTGGTGAAAAAAGGTCCACTGGTGTAACAATTATTAAAAAATGGAAGAAGCTGAACATGACTGTCAGTCTCCCTCGGACTGGGGCTCCATGCAAGATCTCACCTCGTGTGGTCTGTACTAAACATGGATTTTCTCAGGTGGTTAAATACATATTTGCAGCTGTATCATACAAATAAATAGTAAAAAAAAAAAATCAAACATTATGATTTCTTTTTTAGATTATGTCAATGTGACAATTTTAGACCTCTTCATGATTTCTAAGTGGAAGAACTTGCAAAATAGCAGGATGTTCAAATACTTATTTTCCTTACTGTACATCCTATGACCCAAAGCACTTTTAATGCACTTCAAGTTGAATAAAAAAGAGAAAAAAAACTTAGGGTCATATTTTTTTATCAAATAGGTGCCTATATTGTTGAGTTTCTGATGAATCCAAAAATACCAAACCTTAAAAAGAGACTGCAACACACTAATGGTATGTTCTCTGGTAAAAAAAAAATAAATAAAAAAATTGAATTATTTTAGAAATCCTTAAAGCTTCATGTGTCTAAATATGAAAAACTAAAGGCCTTTTTGTTTCATTAATAATCCCACTGATTTTAAAGAATTTGTGTTTCAGTGGGGATAACAAGGATGCATTTTGCACATACATTTCTACCTGCACTATTTCTGCAGGAAAAAAAATTAAAAACAATTTGTACTGATAGATGAAACAACAAAGTTTATTATAACAAAGTTATTTATTTACGGCATTACAATCACATGCCATTTTTGTTGTTAGCAAGTGTTTTTGCTTTCTCTCTCTGCTACAAATTCCAGTAGATCCTATTATATGTTGTTGACACATCATTTTTAGATCCCTTGGAAACACAGCAAGGCATTTGTTTGGATCTCTCCTGGTGTCGCATCCCTCCTCTCACTCTCTCTGCCAGATCCTTGTTCTTTTTTCTATGTACCCTTTCTTCTGTTCTTTTCTTCATCTGTATTTTATTTTTCACTTGAAGAAAGACAACAGCACTGAGAAAATAACAGTGAGCACAAAAATCTCTGAGATGTATTTGAATATGAAGACTTTAGAGAGGATGCTATTTTGTTATCATCCATTGCATCCATCCATCCATTCATCTTTTAACCCTAAATAAAAATCCTTTTCTGTAAATGTTTGAATGTTTACCTATGAGGGGGGGGGGGGGGAATAATAATATAGAAGCCATGTGACTGTCAGTAAGAGACTATTAGTTAAAACAACATGCGGGCATGTTCTCTTCCCAGACACCATAACTCTACTTTGTTCTTAGACAGAAAATATTACCCAGGAAGCCGCCTGAATAAATATGATCCTTTCTCATTACCACGAACAATCATTCCCAACAGGCATTACTTCTCAAGCCTCATTAGCAATGCAGCAGGGGAGTTTTTCTTTTCTGTAATGTCACAGCACAAAGTATCAAACACAAACAGTTGATGCTCCCTTAGTGAGGACTCTTCAGCAGGAGGGTCTTCTGCAGTGCAAATAACTGTTAGTCCTGCATCATTTATATTTGTTTTGTAATTGTGTTTGTTTAAAAAAAACTCATCAGGCATAAACCATGATGTGTTTTCCCCTCCACTATTGGTGAAAGTTGTCCTGGTTAAACGTGTCAGCCCAGCGTCCTGCAACAGGTCTGGCAAAGTGGCGATGAACCTAAAGGTGCTTTTGAATGCTAAAAGCTGAGCCCTAACAGCACTGCAGTCATTTTCAGGGCCAATTTAGCACCGTTTCACCAACATTTATAGCTTATCAGAAAGGTTCAGTCTGTACTGATGATACAATTTCTGTCAGCATGACCTATTTTAAAGATCAAACTTTACTGTGCAGTTTGCCCTGCTAGATAGTAGACGGAGCTGTTAACATTTCCCTATTTCACAGCCTGACTTTGATTTGATTCTGCTTTTCTGTCCCAGATCACTGATTTGCAGCCCTTCACAGAATTATTCATTCCACTTTTTTCGCTTTACAGAACCAAACTTGATTGTTTGTAGGGCTAAGAAATCGATAACAAGTTTGCGATAGACACTTGATCGCTCTAATTTTCAATGGTTTCTTTAAACTCCAATTCAGAAAAAAATTGTATCCAGTGGGAACCCGTATAAAACTAAAGCTACTGGTAGAAATAATATCCATATTATTTCACAGATGCAGGCATGGGTATAAATAAACAAAATGCAAGCAGGTATCATACAGAGTTACAACATGACTGAAACTTATTATTTATATATTTTTTATTTATTAATTCTGCATCTTAATAAACAAATTGATTCAAGAATATCCATCCATCCATCCATAGATTCGTCACGCTTTGTCCCAAGCGGGGTCGCAAGGGGTGCTGGTGCCTCCAGCTGTCTACGGGCGAGAGGCGGGGTACACCCTGGACAGGTTGCCAGTCAAGACAAACAGCCGTTTTTGAACACATTGGCACCTAAGGAGAATTTAGAGAGGCCAATTAACCTAACAGTCATGTTTTTGAATTGTGGGAGGAAGCCGGAGTACCCAGAGAGAACCCACACATGCTCAGGGAGAACATGCAAACTCCATGCAGAAAGACCCCGGGCTGGGAATCGAAT